CATTTTATGAGTTTACATGTTTCCAAATCAATTACATTATGTTGACAAAAATGAAATGTTTGACGCCTTAACGTCCCATCCTCAAAAGCACTTGGTTACCTGTTTAGTGATTTCCTGAGAATACAACTTGTTTTGAAAAAGTTTCAACACAAAGGTTGGTGAGTTCATGAGCATTTGTATGTAGTTATGAAAACCTTTTCTTGTAAAATTAGTGTTCGTTCCAGAAAATCCAATATTTTCCATAATATGTAAAATGTAGTGTTAAAACCCAAGACCAAAATGTATAAGTAACACTCCTTACATATAGTAAATAATGCAAGTTTAAATCGACATAAACTTGTTTGATTTCACTGAAATCCCCGTAAATCCTCTGTTTGTTAATACTTAATGTGAGTTATTATAAACATGCTATGACCTAGATGGTCTGAATCGACGTTCTTCAGGCGTCGGAAATGTTATGACATTTGTCACCTCAGAGCTGCCGGTCTAGCTGTTGCATGCAACAAAGGTGTGGGTTTGTTAGACCCACTATAGATCTATATACAACTATCACTCTCTCCCTCCAGGACACTCTGGTTACAATATAGGACTTATTTGTAAAGTGAAGCGAATGTCTCACAAAAGTCATTAATGACTTTACCTGCAATGTAATTAAAATCCCTTTTGTATATATGTACCCTTTAGTAATGAGTTTGTTATGTAAATGTATCATAAACTATACCTATTATAGTTTATCAAAACAAGGGTAGTAGTAGTGTACACAAACTATACTTATCATAGTTTGCCAAAAGTTTGTATGTAATGGATGCAAATTCGTTCATAACAATTTGTCATTTCATGCATAATATAGAAAAAAAATCCATTTGATAGATGATGTGTGTCTAATAGTAAGACAAAATGACATATATGATAATAACATATAATCACATAATGATACACACCTTGCCCAACAAGTTACAAGGTGTAAATGAAATGATAGCATTTTTCTAGTAATAGCATTTCTATTTTCTGTTCTTAGAAAATTTATAGAAAATTCATCAAAGGTCCAAATCATAATCCGTAAATTCTAGAAGTTTGGAAAATGTGTCTAGTTTGTTCATAAATGTTTTCATGATTTTTAGTAACCTCCAACTTGAGTGAAAAAGCCAATAATCACAGACAGGTCCGGATGTGCTCTTAAAATGATAGGCAGTTTTATAAAAATCGCCTTAAATTGTAGAAAACTCTTATGGAGATGTGCAAGTAGAAATTTTAAAGCTAAGAACTTGAAATACTTGAAACTTGTACAGTTTTGGATACAAAAATGTTTAAGATGTCCAAAACAATTCGCAATTAGAGTTGAACTTTCCTGATGAAAGCTGTTGGAGAAGTATAGTCATGTTCTTGGTGATTTAACTTGTATCCCCCCCCCCCCTTAAAACTTATGAAAACATGAAAATGTAAGGTTATGAACTCACCTTATGTGTTCTTAGTGGATGGATGTTGAAGAAAAGGAGTGTTCTACCCAATGACACTTAGGAGAATGCCTTGAAGATTCGAGAATCTAACACAAATATGATGGAGTCTGTGTAAGGAATCTATGATATGGGTTAAAAGGAAGTGTAATAATCATATGAAAGATGATGATACTTACCAAATGAAGAAGAAAAGTCTTGTAGAAAGCCTTGGAAATCTCTGAATTGAAAGAGAGAAGTTGAGAGAAAAGTGTTTGCTCTTTGGGTGGAAATAAGATAAATGAGTGAGAACGAGGAGAGACGGTGAGTTTTCCAAATCTTAGGACATGATTATGGCTAGGAAATTAGTGGGAAAGGACTATGAAGTGACTAGGGATGGTGGTGAGGGGTGTGGGTTGGTTATGGAGTGGGTATGTATGGTTGCTTGCGTCATAAATCAAAGAAAAGTCAACACTCCACCCTTTGTACTTCACCCACTAATTCTTGGATAAGGTTGGAACTAAAAACGTGATTAATTATATATTTTGGGGCTTCATATGTTAGAATAAAGTTTTGGGTGAAAATACTGCGTTAAAATGATGGAAAACATGCTTATAATGAAGTCGAAGTCGAAAACCGGGAAGTTGAGGCGAAGTTGCGAGGCTTCTCGCATGAAGGACCGAAGATGCGAGGGTTTGGTCCCTCCTGGTGCTAGACCCGAAGGCGAAATGGGCTAGGATGCAAAAGGGGGCGAAACTGGTCAGAAGCGAAATGGACCGAATGTAGGGTTCGGGTCCAGGTTGGTGCGAGGTTTGGATCCGAGAGGACCTTCTGGTTCGGTCCTTGCGAGGCGCGGTCCGAAAGGCAGGTACGGTTCTGGGGGCTTCAGCTCTGCAGTTCGGTCCCTTCATGGACCTTCGGCCCTAAGAGGGGTTTCAGGTCCTTAAGGGTATTTTACCCATTTTTACAGCGTTTTAAGCGGTTTTTGACCCGGTTAAGGGTCGGGATGGCCCAAATGGTTAAAAAAACTTACGGGAACTTTTGAGAGAGATTCGGGAGAGATTTGGGAGAGATTTTCAAATAGAGAGAGATATAGTGAAAAATATTGAGAGAGGTCTCATTTGTGACATTTTTGAGCGTCCGGCTTCGCAACGCAAGGCCCATAAACCCCATTAAGCCATGTTTAAGGGTCCTACACACTCCCGGTGAGTGTGCAATAGTATTTTATCACTTTGCTTCATTGTTTAGCACAATGAAGGCTAAGGAAATTTAACTACTCGAACTTTCCAAATGATGATTCCTCATTAAATTAGTGAATTGTATAGTAATTACATAACATAAACCCTAACATGCAAGGGTTAATTGGGTTCACCGGTTTGACTTGTTGACTTTGTTTGACTTTGACTTAACCAGAATTTGATGGTTCTCAAATCAAATGAGATAAGGATGCTTATATAGGTATTAAGTCCGGAAATTAGGGTTTAAATGTTCATCATGTACACCCTGCATACCGTTTGGTATGCCCAGCATACATGCTGACCCTCCGCGGTCATCCATGCAAGGTACGCTAAGAGTACTCTTGAAGCCAGCCCATCGTACTTAAGGGACCATTATGCAATATTTATAATTTGAAGGGTTCCAAAGGTAATACCTGATTTAGAGTGTTACATCAGTGCCAATGGTCCTCCCAAACTTAACTTTCCTTCTTCAACAATTTCAATTATCTCACATTCATGAGCTTTCATAACGTTATACAAATTTGCCATTGAATAACCATCAAAACTTTCTTGAGTTTTGATCATCAAGCTAATATTCTCCACTTCTTTCTTAATCCCATTAAAAAAGTGAGATTAAACTCCAGCGATGTCACTCCGTATCGAGAACATTTGAATATCAGTTCATTCAATGGATCAGACTAAGACTCGATTGATTCGTCGTCCATTTGTTAGAACTCACCCAATTCATACAAACGCTGCTTCATGGAACTTTTCTTCATCATCTCATTTCCCTTATACATTTCCTTCAATGTATCCCATATCTACTTTGCAGTTTTACATCTTTGGGCATAATTGTAAACTACTGGTGGAAGAGCACCTTGTAGTTCACATAGATATTTCTTATCGTTCGCCTTCATCTTTTTTCCTTGAGTGATCATATTTTCACTTGTAATAGTAGAACCAATGTTGACTAACATCGACGGAATAATTTCACATGTATTGATGTATCTCATCAGATTTTCATCAATTCCATTAAGATAGTCTTCCATCCTATAATCCCATTGTTTGTAGTACTCGGGAGTCAGCATTAGAATCTTCATTGATGATCCGAGCAAGTGATAGAAGTTCAACATTGTGTATAGATTGAAGTTTGCCATTGTTATACGGATTTTTGAAGAAATATGATTTTTGGATTTAACTCCATATTTAAGAAGGTAATCAAACAAAGATTGATTAGATGTCAATCGATCTAACATGCAGAGTTTAGAATCTATTCACACAATCAATTGAGTCAAGTTTTCTGATTCAAATTACAAAATTTTTTGAATCGGAAAGAGCAGCTAAAAAATTAGAAAAATATGAGAAAACTCAAATTGATTACGGTCACAAACATCTTTAGTAATGTCGATGTTTCGAAGATTTTTGAGACCAACAAGGATAATTTCTCCATTGGTTTTCCTCATATCAAGGTTTTCATAGACAACTACTATGATTACTTGGCTATCACTAATATTGAGCTTGCTTCAGCAGTCAACAAACCTGCAAAAGTCCCATAATCATTACTAAGAGAAAAATTAACATTGATGATTTTGAAGATGGTGAAATAATTCATCAACCTCTTGGTTTCGTGTTTCGAGGAAAGAACAAAAATGGGCGGATAACAAAACTTTTGTTCCAAGTGAGTGATCTTGGGAGGTATACGAATTCTTAGTATACAAATCTCCTTAATCGAATTACCAACTGCAAAAAGAACGATAGTGAAGACAAGGTAAAGATTCCAAACACCATCTTATGATATGTGGATATTAGAAAGGAACTTCTACATACCCTAAAGCTAGTGGCATAATTTTGACTACTCTCACTAAGGGGGAGATTATAGGAGTCCAAATGTTTATAATGAGTAGTAGAAATGGTATGAGTTTGTAAGGAGTTGAATCCAAATGATTTCAACTATCTATGCTAAGCATCAGCGCTATAGGTTGATCTAACACCAATTTGTGTTAGAAAGGGCACAACCTTACCCATATAACGTATTTAACCTTCCAGGACTAGGCATTCGATAGCAGCAGTTCAGGCTAGTGGCGAGGGTTCGAAACCTAAAAGCCTTATTAGTGATTGGGAGATCCAATTATGAATCTTGTGACTTATGAAGATCAAAAGGCACAATTGGTTCTAACCAATACTGGTTTAGAAGATCAATGGCATCATGTTGGATTCACTACAAAGTCCATTTGGGAAATCAGAGCTTTTTGCTCTAAAGAATTTTCGGTGCCTATTTCTCAGCCCTTTCTTTTTCTTCAGCCTCACGGATGATTCTTTGGTGCTCATCCATTTTGACTTCACGAGCTTTTCATATTTTTAGTTCTTCTTCATCAGGATCTTCTTCTTCATCATCGTTAATAATAGGTTCATTACTGAACAGTGTTTCCTTACCCTTTGGTTCTTGCTTGACAACAGACTTGACTAGCATTTTGGGTTCTTCTTTTGGTGATTCACCAAACATACCTTCTCCCCCTTGTTTCTTATTAACGCTTTAATCCGAAACACCTTCAAGGCGGTGAAGCATTATGAACACTGGCTTTAACTTTTCTTCCAGATGCTTGTGCATTGTGATGGTGATCATGGAGTACCTGGTCTCAATGATATCCGAGAGCATTCCAGTAACATCAGTGATACAACTTTGCATGACTGGCCTGTCAGATAACAGATCATTGACCTATTTCTATGAAGTGTTCAGCTTGACACCTAACTCCTTGACTTCTTCGGTCTTGATAGCAAGAGAGTACTTGAGATCACTTTCCTTTGCCAATTCTTCTTGAAGCTTTAAGATTTTAGACGAAATAGAGGTTTGAAATGCTTCATGGTCAGTTTTCAGATCAGTATGAATCTCTTGCAACTTCGTCTTCTCAGTTTTGAAGAGAGATACCAGACTCTTCAAAGCTTCATTTGCTGCAGTGGTATTGGAGTTGAAAGTGGTTTGGAAGTTCTCCATGAAAGCAGTGGTGGAACCAATTAGTTTATCAAAAAAAAATTTCATCCACTTGCAAACTTCAGCCAAAGTTGCCACAACCTTGTTCATCATGTCAGCATTGGTTGTATACTCCTTTGAGATTCGTTCAACAAAAGAATCTATCATGGCTTTAGTATAAGCATCAAAAGAGGAGGTGCTGGTAGAGATAATTAATTTATCAATCTTTTCATGAAGTGACTGAAGCTATAAGTAAATCCCCCAAGATCTTCATCTTCATCATCACCGAAGACCATATCTGGGTCATTAAGGTCAATTGGGGAAATGGGAGGTGAAACATGAGTTTAGAAACCTAAAGTTGTAGCCCCCTTATCAGATACATTAACTGAAACAAAAGGTGGGGTAGAGGTTGTGGGTGGAACTATTGAATCAGTGAACAACAGGATGGAGAGAGGAATACTGGTTTTTTGTTGTGTAGAAACTGGTGGAGGGTATGGAGCAATTGTTATTTGGATAGAGGTGGTTTGAAGTGAAGGATGTGGAGAAGGAACATGGTCATTAAAAGGTTGAGTTACCTTAGGATTGGATGTGTTCTCTATATTTCAAAGAATTTCTTCCTCGTTGTGAACATCATCATTATGAACCTCCTCATAGCGAACATGATTGTCTTTCTTAAAGATACGTCAGACTGAGTGCCTGACTCTGACCCTTCTCTTGCACTTGGTGTTGGGGTCTTTTGCTTACGATCATGTTGTTTTTGCATTTTGGGATGAGCTGCAGAAGGAGAAATTTTCTCCTTTCGCTTCTTTGGAGTCGCAGCTGGCTCAGAGGGACCCTCTTTCAGTTCCTTTGGCTTACCCCCGCCCCCCCCCCCTTTTTTTACTTTTTCAGATTCATCAATGGACATGCGCATCTCAGGAGTAATGGTGTGAACTCCTATAGATGGAAGCTTTTTGTACTCCTCCAAAATATTGCTTGCAACTGGAACATAACGAAATATGGTCTCCGAAATGGAACCAGCAAAAGCGAACTTCGAGTTGTCAGAAATAATGATTTTGATGGTGTGAAAAGTAGGAATCAAAGACTTCAAGGAATCCTTCATCATCGAAATTTTGTATTTTTCGATTGCACGTTAAACAACAATAGTCCAGAAATGAGCACAAGAAATCTCACTGTGTCGAGTTGTGGAGTGAGTACTTTGCACTAGTTGAGCCCACAAAACAATGCCATAATCAAGGTTCATTTCGTAGTAAAGACATACAACAAGTTCATAAACATCTTACTAGCATAGTCTGATATTGTGACTCTTTCAGAAAAACCTTTGAAGAGAAGAGTAAACAGACCATTCCATTAAGGAGGCAAGTTGGGTTTCCTGAACTTGGAGATTGATGGAATGCTTTCCTTATATCCTCTCTGATAAAACATCTCGAAAATAGTTGCAGTGGAGATCGAGTCTGGATTCACCATGGAGTCATCAGAAGCAAGCTCTAGCAGAGAGCAGAATCATGACTTGGTGAATGATATTTTCTTCTCAGAGATGTTGAAGGTGATGCGTTCTTCTTCCTTGATGTAAGCTGTAGAAGAATAAGCCTTCAAGAGTAGAGACATTGGTACACACTCAACTTTAGTTAAAGCAGTGACCATAGGGGAATACTTCAAGCATTCGATGATAAGCAGCATGTATGAATCGTACTTGAATGGATACAAATCAAGAATCAAGTTTTATTTCTATTTGATGGCAATAACTGAGGAGTGTGCGGTTTGATCATGAAAGGATAAAGAACCAACTATTGTTGCAGATTGATGAAGAAGAAGAAAAATATAGAGAAATCACCGTTGGGATTCTTGAGAGAATTTGAGAGTGGTAAAAGGTAAGGTTTTGAATCAAAAATCCTTTATACGATTATGTAGGAGAGATAATCAATTGAGTGACTTTTGTTGAAGCGACGCCTAAAAATGCGAGATTTGACAATTATAGCACTGATAAAGGTGTCAGGTGGCGTGATAAGTGGAAGCGTTACAAATTCCACACACCTAAATTTCGAATCTTTTATCCACAAATAGCCACGTCATTATTATCTTGTTCTCATCCTTTCAAACTACATCTGTTGCAATAAATATGCATACGGTCGTTCGCATTTAAGAGTGAGTATCATTGAATCTGCAAAATTGAAAATGCCATAAGTACCACAAGCAAGACTTTAGGAAAATCAAAGAGATCTCCGTGCAAGAGTGTGCCTACGAAAAAGAAATAAAGCAAGAGTTATCTATGTGATTTTAGTGATGTCTTAAAAGACACGAAAAAATAGATCCCATGCAACAATCTCTTCCTTCAAAATCAAGAGACATTAAGAAGTGTTTGTGTGGTTTCCCATTGAAATACGATCAAATGTTTGACAAGAAGCTTTGGAAGGCATCTTTTAATTAGGCTCAGTAGGTAGCTTACTCTCCAACCAAACAACGAACTTGACATAAGAACGAATGTTGCATGAAGTACTCGTGTGAGCAGTGTAGTCAGTTGAACGAGTAGGTGTGGAATTATTTTAGTGACATGGTAAAGATAGAAATCTCAAAAAAAATAAAATTGGATCTTATGGGAAGAAATGTCATTGTATTATAACATTTCATAAAGATCACTCAAAAGAAAAAGAGATTCCTTTATACATACCACGAAAGTCGTTTTTCTTCATTCCAAGGTGAAAATCTAGAACATTTAATTGTCCACCATCAATTCATGTAAGTGTGCTGGATTTGGGGTTTCACTCAGTTCGTGATGAACGGAAATAAGATCATTAACACAGATGTTGTGCAACCATAAACCTCAGTGGTATAGCTGAGAGTCTCAAGGGTTACATTGATGATGTAACGCCCCGATTCTCAGGTATTGATTTGAATGAAAGTGTTTTTGGTTTTAAGATCTACTCGACGAGTTGGTTGCCCTACTCGCCGAGTAGCAGTGGGGTGGGATCGCGTGTTTAGCTGCCTACTTGCCGAGTCCATGAAGAACTCGACAAGTAGGAGCTAGAAAAGGAAACCCTAGATCTCGGGGTTTTGCACCTTATTTAAGGAAGCATAAGCCTCCTTTAGCCACCTTATAGTCCTTGATAGCTCAGAAAAACCCTAATTCATGTGTTGATTCATCCTTGTGTGTCTTAAGATTTGGAAAGGAAGAACTTGGAGGGAAAGAGTCTAGGATCAAGGAAGGCGTAGGAATTAGAAATCTACCTCAGTTAGCATCTTTTGGAGGTATCAAGTCATCACCTTTACTTCATTTTCCTTCTAGACCTCATTTTGTTAAGACTTAGGGTTTTTATGGTTTGATTGAGATGATAGTGTGGGATATGAGCTAGATCCGAAGTTGTAACTTTAGATCTGAACCCTCCTTAGGTTCTAGAGTCATAAAGCTCTGAGCTTGGTCATGTATGAAGCCCCTTGAGTATCAAACCCCCCATTGTGAGCTTGAATTTGATATTAAGAGCCTTTTTAGCCATGCATGCATGTAAACTTTGCAACTTTATGTGAGATGCATGCCTTAGAAGCTTGGATCTGTAATTTGGAGCCACTGCATGGCTTAAAAGATTCTGTATGGATTAAGGACTGAAGAACTCTGTGAGTCACGAGGTCGAATCGGCGAGTCATATGAAGATAAGCCTGGACCCGGCATGTTGGATGAACAACCTGGCGAGTCCGATGAAGATTGCCATAGAACTCGACGAGTTGTATGAACAACTTGGCGAGTCGGTTGTGCTTTCCCCAATTTATATATGCATGTGTAACCATAGAGTTGCAAGAAGGAAACTCGACTAGTGGCCTTAGAGTTCAATCGTAAACCAAATGAACTCGGCGAGTGGGCAAGTGCTTCAAGGAACTCGGCGAGTAGCCGAGTGTACTCGGTGAGTTAGGCTCAACATGGACTGTTTACCTTGACTGATGACTTTGATTTTGACCAGGGTTTGATTAGATGGCTTTTGGGGTACCTTGAAAGGTTGGGAACTTATTGGTATAATCATATTATGGTAATAGGTGATGGAGTTTTTTACAGTGATCCAAGAGTTGGAGTTCATCTACCGAGTCAACATCTGCGAAGTGAGTTATCCTCACTATATCAATAGGGTCTACGGCAACAAGGTCGGCCCTTAAGTTGTTATTTTTATGGTGTGCTACATGTGGTTATGATATGTTAAATTGGAATCAGGATAGACAGTATATTATGCTCTTATGATCCTTAGGGATTGGTATGTTAGTGACCTGCTAGGTCGGTGCTCTAGTTACGAGAAATTTATATGATTGATAATCAGTGAGATAGATATGTTTGATGTTTGTATATGCCAGTATATGATAGTTATGTGCACTTGGATATTTGGTTGTTGGTTAGGATGAGGTGGTCCTGATTTGTGCTGAAGGCCAACATACCCTATGAGCGGTCCGGGGAGACTGTAGGCCCAAGTGGTGGTCCAGTCATGCCGAAGGCTCAGGATAGGATCAGATAGACTTTAGGCCCTGTAGGGCGGTCCAGTCAGGCCAATGGCCCAGTATGCATGTTATTGATTTTCTGTTACTGATATGGTGCTATCAGGGTGGCATTGGTATTTTGGGGGTAGCTCACTAAGCCCTCGGGCTTACAGTTTTCAGTTTATTGTTTCAACTACTTCAGGAGATCATGGCAAGGCGAAGGCGTGACCGTACCGCTCCTCATCCTTTTGATCTAGTTATTAGGACACTCTGATGAATAATGATTTGAAAACATTTTGTAAGCAAATACTATTTTGTTTAATTTATGATTGAAAAAGTTTAAATTTGGCGTGAAATTTTGGATGTGACAAGTTGATATCAGAGCCTTGGTTTGAGTGAATTGGAGGAACGCTCGTATGAATCCAGTCTCCAATCAAGGGAATTTTCAAAATAAATACTAAAATGGTTTTCAAAATAAAGGATGGAGGATGCAGAGGGTATGATCAGTCAGAGCTTGTAACTAAACCCCAAAATACCGTATAGTTAATTGATATTATGATATGATAGAACATCATAATAGTGCTAGGCTAGGAGTCTTCAGGAATCGCATGATTAGATTTTCCTGGTTATGTGATGCCTACTAGCCTAAGGTTTCTTGTATATGGAATTGACATCATAATTGTAGATGTTTAGTATATCCATCACGGTTATGTATAATCAAGATCTTATAACCTGAGAATGTTTGATTCGAACTTAGTGTAGGATTGGATATTCGAAAGTCTATCGGGTCCAACGTTATGTGTGGCTAGCATACACTAATGCTGCAGGGTTGGTGAAAGTTTCATTAACGTGTGAGCCGTGAGAAGCTGTGAGACCAGTTGTGAGATAGTCGATATTCCCTAGGAGGGAGGGTTGAGCGCATAATATGTCGATGATAGTGTTAGGGCATTGTGGTGATACTTGAGACCAATATGGGTAGGTGTGGAAGGTGGTATGGGCCCGTACTACAGAAAGCACATGACCCATATGCGTAGCAAGGAAGACACAACCCCTAGGGTTGTGGGGATTGGTCTCCTGATATGATGTCATTTATCTGACATCTTGGTTATATTTTTAGGTATGGTGGTGATACGATGTCTTACTACTGGATCCGCATTAGGGCCAGGATCACGATCAGGATCGGGGGACAAAGGGTCGGAGGTGCCGGTAGCACCTGAGCCAGTGGTACAAATAGGGACAGAGGAGTTAGGTGCCAAGATCCGGGAGATTCTACACGATGAGATTTCTGCAGTGTTCCTAGCGCAACTACTAGAGATGTTTGGGTCGATTAAGACCGCGATAGTTGAGTACTTTGATGAGCGGTATGCAGCTCTAGTAGAGACAGTTGCCGCTGCAGCCACATCGGCTATAACCGCGACAGGGATTGGAGGAGGAGCCGTCAGCATTTTCCAGTATCGGGAT